CTGGGTGCTTCGTGAGGGGGGACCAGTTAGTGCCTGGGTCTCACTGGGGGGAGGCAGGTGCAGCACTGGGAGGTAACAGAAATTCAGCACAGTGTATGGTCCTGACTTGGTAGATTCTTGTAGTGAAGCTTTCAGGGTGGTTGGTTCGATAGCTCTTGCTAGCTTGCCCTCACTCCAGAGCTTGGAGGAAGTATGTGAGTGTTTCTTTTGGTGCTGAAGATCAGTTTAATGTCAAACCCACCAAGCAAAACTAGTAGCCCCAAAATACCTGTATCTCTGTAATCATAAAACTGTCATAGTAAAACTCTTGTGTTACTTAAAGGTATGTTTATGGCTTATTTCATTAAGTGTAACTTTAAGAAGCTGCTTTGGTGCTTTTTGTTCCCTGAGGCACCTATCGTGCAAGCAGCTGCCTCCGTGAGAGGCAATGCCATTGACTTTGAGTGTCCAACATTAAGCTGACATGGGCATTTGCATGATTGGACTTAACTGAATGAATATGGGGGGAAGATATCAAAGTTCATAATAATGGATTTTGTTGGTATTTATGTGAATTATGTTTTAAGTAGATATTTGTGAAATATAGCCAGATTTCTGCAGTGATCTCTATGTATTTGATACCTTGTTGATACTTGTTTAGGTTGCAGGCAGGAGAAGGCTTTGTACGTGCAGAAATACTTTCTGGTATATTGAGAGCAACTCACAGGAGTCATTTGAAAATTAAAATTTGATGCCTGACATCCGGAGGAGATGGAGTGTGTCTTATGCATAAGTGGTTTTGTCTATTTTGGTTTCAGATTCTTTCAGATGTGTTGCTAAGAGATTAAAATCAAAGTAATATGTATTTTTTATTTAACTGAAAAGACTTGGCTAAACCTGCTTTATTAAATGGAAAAAGAAAAATCTCCCAGAGCTTTGTATCTAAACTAGCCAGTTGGTGCAGAGTTGCAGGAGTGTCGTGTAGTATCTAAGAACAGCAAGGCGACCAAAGGACTAAAAATCGCATACTTTTCTTCTGAAAGAACCTGGGTGTGCTTGGGCCTGCTCTCTAAGTGTGTTTTTATGGTTATTCAAAAACTGGTTCTGTGGGCAGAAAAATTGGCTATTTAATGTTTAAAGTACCAAGACAATAGGAGGGGTTGGTGTTTATTGCCTTCAAGGGTAAACGAGCTGTTTAATGCTCCTGCTGTCCCCAGAATGCTTCACAGATATTGAGCTTTATCACACCAATCAGAAAAGCAGATATCCTTTTTAGAAATCCCTTCTGGGGGAGTCTTGTTTAAAAACCCCTGCTGTAAATGGTGTCAAGGTTGTAACACAAAAGAGCAAAACAGAAGATACCCTTGATTAACACCACCTATACCCTGCTAACTTTATGACACAATGCTTAGCACCCGCTTTCATTTCCCATTTACTTTTCCTGGATTTTGGTCTTTATAATAACAACGTGCAACTCTGCCAATTTGTGCAAGAGAAGCAGTAAGCAGCCTGTTCTTTGACAGCTCTGAAAGATCAGCTGGGTTCTCATATGCCTCTTGCATCTCCTACAAATCAGTCTTTATGCTTGTGCTGAGAGTACTAGGGTGGGCTTGGCTTTTGCACTGGTGCTCACAATCATGCTGGAATTCAAACAATTTTATGCTGTAAATAGTAAAAACTTGCTGAAAATGCTGCATGGGATTGTCCAGCTCTTACTGTTTTTAATTAGTACCTATCTTTTTAATCTATACCAATACTTTCTGTCTAGGTTGAAAGCATGGTCTTGTTGGGGAGAGACAAGCATACTTGTTGGAAACTCCTGGTTTTATTCTTGAGTTGGCTTGAAAGATGGGAATGGCATTATGTGAGACTGGCACTGCTGGGCTGAAGCTGTAACCCTGGCAGGGGTGAGACCCAATGTCTGCGTTGCGGAAGGCTGCCTTGTCCTTCAGCTGCCAGGCTAGTCCGTTGCAACAGCCTTTGCAGTTAGCAGGAGAAATGCTGTCAAAGAACTTTCTCTTGCTCTTGCTGGTTCATTTGTTTCAAGTGCTGTGTGAATTAACAATAGTATTGTTCCAGGTTCTTGTTTTTCACATTTTCTTCTGGAATTTGTTTGTGATGGAAAAGAAAAGACTTTTACCCCCAAAATGAGAAGCTTCTCAGAGTTCCGATTCCTGTTCTTGTTGTGCAAGTCTCCACATGACAGTTTTTCTTCACAGTTTTTTAAGTGTGCATGTTGCTCTTGTGAGAAAAAGACTGTGTTCTTACCCTGAATATTTCTTATAGTCTAGATTAAGACTTGATAAATCCTGAAAAATGCTAGGAAGGAGAGTGTTGGAGTCAACAATGATTTTAAATTCTTACTTATCTTTTTTTTGTCCAGTGAAGTTTCATGAGTCAGACTGGGCTGTTGGGAGTTTCTTCCAAAGATGTACATGTTGGTTGAAAACCGCACAAGTTCCCATCTTCACCTGAAGAGGTCACCTGGCATTCGATCTTGGTCTCTCTTTGTTGGTAAGTCCATAATATTCCTCAGTTTATTTCAGAGCTTGCTCTAAGGGATGGGGGGGGTCACAGAATAAATTCCTGAAAGAGCCTCTAATAAGAGGTGCCTGTCTTTCAGGCATTTTTCTTTCAAGAAGAGGAATCATTATGCTTTAACTTCTCCTTTAGCATAGCCACTAAATGAGTCTGAAGCCGCCTCCTCAGCATGGTAGTTCTTCTGTGAGACTGATAATTTTTCAGTCATCTGCAGAACCTCAGAGGCTCATGATCAAAATTTTAAGGGAGTCCGGAAAGGCCAAGAAAAGAAAGTTTATTATATGCCGTATAGCAATATAAAAGTGAAGCTTCTGAAGGGGATGCGTACTTACATTGTAAAACAGCTAGGTTTCCAGAAACGGAAAAATCTGCAGTGGAGCAATGCTGGGGTTAGATCTAGTGTGTGGTTGACAGTGAGCTCTTAACGGCACTGTGTGTATGAAATAGGAAGTCATACAGGATGTTCTGAGAGGTGCCTGTTTTGAAACACTACTGAATATGCAGAAAAAAAATGGAGCGGTACTTCGTAGGACCACACTGAAAGAGCTGGCAGGGAAAATGTGGTGTATCCTGCTTTCCAGCTGAGTAGATCGTAGATCCCATTGCAGTAACACTACAACGTTGTCATTGCTTTCAGTGATGTCATCTTGTCAAACTCTCATTGAGAGAAGATCTTTGCAGTTGCAGTGGCACTCAGGGGCATGAAGCACTTTTCATCTGTTTCTTCCTCAATGGGAGAAAGGAGCTGGCAGCTTCTGACACGGCTTTATTGCAGAAGTTTTCTTTTGGCTCCGCGAAGCACTTACAGCGGAAAAAATAACTGCTTTAGTGTTTATGCTAGCATGCCCAATGTTGTACTGTGCTGGAGAGGAAGTATGGTGTAATGGTTAGATTGAGAGTCCCTCTGAAGTTCTGTTCCAGATTTTGGTGCAACCTTTTATTTCTGACCTCAGCCCCTGTGCTTTTATGTGTCTTTGTAGAATGGGAGCTTTTTATACTGAGTTCAGAGAAAAATAACTGACTTTTTCATATAGTGATCAATGTTGTAATTGCATTTGTCCCTTCTTGAAAAGTGATGAACTTGTGAATATTCATATGTTTTTCATCAGGGAATTTTAGATGGTTTGAGCTGCTTGTTTGTCCTAATTCTCTCTGCTCTTTTTCTAGGAATAGCCTCCATAGGTTTGGCTGCTGCTTACTATAGTGCAGGTAATGGCCTATCACTTTTTTGAAGACTTGTCTTATTTCCTATTGATCTGTTTTTCATGCTGATGACTCCTCTCTGCAGCTTCTGTCTGGCCGTACAAAGGCAGTATAGGTACCTATCACACTTTGTGGCATGAATATTAAAATCCAATAATAATTGCTGCCTGTGTATGACTTATTGTGCTTTAATGCTCTATTTCTTACTCAGCATCCCTTTCCATTTGCAAGAGTATTTTTAATAATGGCATTTAGCACTCTGTGGCATTTGGTACTTTCAGTGTCTTTCATAAATGTGATTAGCTGGCCCTCACAGCTCTCCTGGGAAGACATATAATGATCGTTTGCCCCCATAATGAAATGATTACCTTGCCTTTGACGGAAGTGCTCTGTTTCTCTGGAAGCTGTTAAATCATCACTGGCAGGGATTACTCGTAAAAACACCTTCAGATAGCTACTGCTGCTTCCTGCACCACTGCAATAGAGCAGACGGTACCAAATGCCGGGTATACTTCTGTATGTGGAATTTATCCTGCAGGCTGTCCTGTGATTCTCTTGCTGCATCCTATTATCATCAAATTTTAAAACTTAATAGTGTCCAGGAATATACTACCAATATAATCAATGTATTTTTAGTTTAAGAGCAAAGTGCAGTGAAAGCTGCTTGATAACCCTGTATCAGCCTTTTTTTCTTAAGACATTGCAACAAAGTTGGTTTTTTTTTTTTTTGAAACAATACTGAGCACAGTTCTGCTCTGCTTTCAGTAAAAGTCTGAGTAAGCAAATTGCTTGGGCTGCTATATGTAAACATTTCCAGGACATAAAATGCAAATGTTTGTCAAGAGGGCTGACTTCTTTCTTTTATGAAGAAACATGTTTGCTGTAGTGAGTTTCCATTGTCCTGTATCCTTGTCCTCTGCAGCACAAGTATTTGGTGGTTGAAAGTTTTGTGGATGCCTTTGATTTTACAGAAAAGACGTGTAGTGATGTTACAACCTTGCGAATAATACATATGCTTATAGTTCTGCATGATTTGGAGCCCTGTGTGGATGGAGTCTTTGAAGAATATGTGAAGAGTTTTTGTATTTTTATCCTGGGAGAGAGCTGTGAAATAGCTTGCATTACAATTAAAGGCAAAAATGTTGCATCAGAGAAACCTTTTTTCCTTTTGTTACCTTTAAAGGGAGCATGTTGCTTTTAAAACTAACGGAATACCAAAGTAGGGGGAAAAAAACCCCTTACATTTGTACATTTTTTTTTTGCATTGTTCAGACAGCCTGGCATGGAAGCTCTTCTATATGTCCGGGTGTTTCTTTGTGGCAGCACAAAATCTGGACCAGTGGGAGGTAAGATGCTGAACTTGGGAAATAAGGTTGTGCTAGTTTAGAAACAGTTGGCAGATGCTGATTCCAGCAGCCCCATGCACTTGCTCTGTCCAAACAGACAAGTGACGCTTTTGGTTTTGAGGAAACCCGTTGGGGCTGCTATACTTGGACTGGAATTAGGGCAATAATTCTTCTACTACACAAGCATGAAAACGTGAAGCTAAACATAAGAGTGCTCTAAACTGTTTTGTGGCCTTTTCCTCTTTTATGTGAGAAAGAATAGCATGTTCAGCTGCTGTAACATGGTGTTGTACTTACTGTGCCAGCTAATGCCAGAACAACCATTAAATAGGGTAGCTCTAACCTTCCAGGCTAACCAGCAATTTTCCACTGGGAAAAGAGTGGTGTTTGCAAAGCTGGTTTATAATCCTGTGGATGTTGATTTGTTGGGAGTTGGACTGAGAATAACAACCTGTTACATTTGATTGTCACTTTACTGACCCGAGTTGTTACTAGAATAAGCAACCCACATGAGACATCCTCTTTTAATTGACTGTCAGGGATATTTTAAATCTAGTGTAAGCCTGGCCCATATAGCATAACACTGCAATTTTGGTGGAGTTGGTGACTGTTATTGAAAAATGTAACTAGAATGTATGTTTGCTGTATAGTTATACTGTAGGCCAAATGCATACATCAAAAGTGAGAATTACAGGAGCTCCAGGTTAGTGTTCAAATTTGATTCCAGGCAAAGTTTTCATTACATGAAGAATGTGGCAAGAGGGGCAGTGAAACAGGCTTTAACTTCCTTCTAGAAGTAACACAGCAGGTATGGTAAGGTCTCTGTTAAAGCCAAGAGCAAGATTGTGATTTTCAGTCTAATAATAGAGGAATGTCTCTAAAATACCTATGTATTTTGCTGTGTTACCAAGATTATTTTCCCATATAACTATTATTATTTTACTTTGAAGCATAGCTACTGATGGTGTTTTTAAGAAAAATCTTGACTTTTATTTTTCAATTTTACAGGAAGCTGTATTTGATAAGAACAAGGGAACAGTCTGCCTAAAAACATTCAATCTTTACAAAAAAATACTGACCTTCTCAAAAGGAGGCAATGAACAAGGTGAGAAAGCAAATGTGGTGGGCAGACAGAAGAAATGCATACATGCCCATTTAATAAGCTTCTCTGGAGTTTTGTACTGAAATTAGTCACATCTGTTTCCAGACCTCTTTTGTTCCCAAGCAGCAGATGTAATGCCTTTTGGGACCTAAATGTTTTTTTCAGGTTAGGGTGCTGAGTGCATCTTGTTAGTTATTTTAATCCAAGGTAACTAAGTTTACACACTGCTTTCTATAAGTCTTAGCCATTCCTTTGGGATGTTAATGTGCAGGTTTACATTTCCCTTGGCTAGCCTGCTTTGCTTTGCAGGTGGGACTGGTGGAAAAACTTAAATTTTGGATCTGGGAGTTGAGATTTCTATAATTTGTTTTAGTAGCAGGCAAATCTTTAGACACCATATGCAAGCAGGTATGTTACATCTTGCAGATATATCATGCATTTAAAACAGCATGTTCAGTAGGCTCAGCTTAATGCAGTACCTCAGTTCTTTTGAGCTTCCTTTTGGAGTAGCAGAAGTTGAAGTATAGTATGTGGCTTGGCTCCATTGCAAACCGAAGCAGGATCCTCTTCAGTGTCAGATTTTTTGTTCTATTTGCTAGTCTAAGTCATGCCAGCTCTCAATATGCTTAGAAAAATGACAAAATTTGGAATATCCTTAAGTTGAATTGGTTTTAAACAGTTAATTTTGGAGATGGAAGTGGAGAGAAGGATGTTTAATGTTTCTGAACTTTTCTTTAGTGTATTTTTATGGGGAGTTGTGCACATCCCTGAGAGGTTATTTGGTATTATCTGTTTCAAGTACCATTAATGTGGGGATGCAGAGGTCAATAGGTGCTTTGAACAGTTAAATCTTTCAGTATTTGTTCAATCTCAGTAATCTTAACACCTGTTTACCTACTCTGTACAGAAAAAATAGTTAAAACTGTCATTAAAGTAAGTGGGAAATGTAAGTAATAAACAAATGGTCCCCGGTTCCTGGGAGGTGATATATCTTGTTCATTAGGCTTATACCATCTAGTATGTGCTGTAGTATCTCCTTGTTTGTTTTGCCTGAGTAGCTTGGCAACTGTTTGCTATTGCAGGACTGCCCTGGTTGTATGGGATCAGAGCAATAGCACTCAAGAGCATAGAGTCCCAGTCATGCAAGTCACGAGTAGCAGTGTTGAGAGTTTACTGTAATGCTAATGGATGGCTTTGTTTTCCACATCTGTTTACAGTAGTGGCTCTACTGAATGAGATCCGAGATGTGAATGTGGAAGAGGAGACTGTGCGATATTTTGGGAAGGGTTACCTGGTGGTGCTACGATTTGTCACTGGATTTTCACACCCACTGACTCAGAGTGCAGTGTTGGGCTGCAGAAGGTAGTGTGGACTTTCCTTAATTAGAATATGTAAGGTGGGAAGTAGCAATCACACAGGTCAGTAATTGTCAGCTCATCTTGGCTCCATTTTCATACTTGCTGATATGACCTTGCGTTATTCAGTTTAACTTTTTTAAACCCTTTAATGCTTTCAGTTGCAGGAATTTGGGTAACACCATTTCCCATCAGGAGACTGATCATATTGAGATGTCGGAGATCCCTTTAGTGCTGCATGTCTGCTGTAGTTGCCTTCACTAGCTCAGCTGTGCACTGGCAGAGGGGACTAATTCTATTTTGCAAACATTCAGTATATTTACCTGTAAATAGAATTTGTTTTAAGTATCAATAGTAAGGAATCTTGCAGCAGGGACTGTGGGAAAAGGATTGATTTGTTCTGATGTGGAAGTAATGGTTTGGCTTGATAGGCCTTCACAAGTGGGATGCTGTCATACTTGACTATGGCATACTCCATGCCATATGTTGACTGGCCCTTCAAGCAGTTATTCTCAACAATTAGCGTGCCTGTTCTTGTTTTAACACCACAGTTCCACTAACTCTTACATTGTTTTTTTTTTCCACAGTGATGTGGAAGCGGTTGCCAAACTCATTACTAGTTTTCTGGAACTGGACAGGGTAGAGAGCCAACAAGATCTCTCTCAGAGCAGCGAAACAGAGGCTAGTGATGAAGATGAACCACAGGATAAATATTAATAGTCATCATGACCTGAAGAAAGCAGAGGCTTTCAAACATCTGGAAAACAGACTGATTGTTCGTCAGAAAAATAAACCCCTCTCACTCTTGACCTGGGCATTTCTCTACATGTGCATTTCCAATGGGAGGAATCTGTTTTAGGGCACCTTTTTTTAGTGCTAAACTGCTTCAAGATCCATGCTCACAGTATTGCCATTGTAGAGTCCAAAGCAAATTCTGTTTTATTTGCTCCTTTGACTTAGCCCCTGCATGTGGACATTGCTGGCTTCTGAACTTTGCCAGCTCATCAAACTTGTCTAGGAATAGTTATTTATTAATGAATTGGTTTGAAATCACTTATTGATTTCCCATTAATGAAGTGAAGATACAGATGTAAGTTTCCACTTACTGCAAACATCTGCTGCAGGTACAGTATGTGAAATGTAGATGAGCTGAATTTGCAACTCATAACAATGCTTTGTTATGAGGTTTTTCTTGAAATGTTACAAATGACTGAATATATTGCTAAATTGGTTTTAAGCAGCTTAATATATGCAGTTAGGTGATGCAGGATAGTGGCACTTTTATATTCTCTACTACTGACTTGCTGTTAGATATCAGTGGAAATTAAAGTTGGACTGACTGTCTTAGAATTGGAAACATCAGGCTGATCAACTTGTTACGTTGCCTTACTTCTCTTGGACTGCCCAAGGAGCCATAAATAGTAAACAAAAAATGATCACGTTGATGATTCAGTATCTTTGGGATGTTCTAGCTTAATCCTGTTCTGCTTAACTTCTGGGCATAGACTATCCCAAGATAGAATAACTTTTTTCTAGACCTCAACATTTACTGTTTTAACTGTGTAATTAGAAAGGAAGAAAAGCACATCTGTTACTTGAGGTAGGGAGAAGACTGATGTCAAACAACATGGCAGCCTAGATTTGTTTAGTATTTCCTCACTTGAAATGATACCGAAGTGCTAAATATTTTTTTTAAGATAGCTGGGATAGAGCCATGTTTGACTTGCACCCATGTTTTACTCCAGGTATGTGTAGTGTCCTCTGGGTTTCACAAATCGTTAAAATACGAACTTTCCAAGATATTTTTTTGAAGTAAAAGCTACCTCTGTTAGTCAACATGTTCTGTTGACAACTAAAACTTCATCATGCCTGTATCAACATGGTGGTACAAGAAAAAAAAAGTCAGAGCTGAAAGTTCCTTCAACATGCTAAAACTGCTTGTATTAAAGTTCACTGGGTTTTGTGTAGGAATTGTATGGTGGTAAGACCTGGATTAGAAAATTGCTTCTAGGGATCTGCATGGGGTACAAGGTAACTGTGCTCTGCTTTCACATTTGGCCAGCAGCAAATTTCTTCTGGCAGCAGTTTCTTCAGGACTTGAAAGAACCTGCATTCTTCTTTCAAAGTGTTCTGCCTCTACAGAAGAGAAAGCTCTGAAAAGTTTTCAGCAGAAGCTATGTCCTGTTGTGTGTTCCAGCTGCATCTGCAACTAAGCACGTGCTTACCTGACCAAAGAACAGCTTGTACCAAGATTTCACTTCCAGCCATTTAGACCCACTATGTGAGCTGTGAGACAAAGATGCTCTGACTGTTGGTTTGGATGGATAATCAAACTGGAACAGGGAGATAGCTGTGATGCAGCTTGACTGCAGCACAGAAGTGGGTCTATTGCTATTAAATAAGAAATTTGCAATCACATCAGGTATCAAAGCAGACCTCTGCTAGTAGATGTGCTTGTGAAGTCCTCAGAGTTGGTGAGTTAATTGTGTGGCTTTCTGGCCCACATCACTGGAATTGGGAAGCTGTGATGTATGAATGTGGGAAATTAGGTTGCAAGCAATTAGCTAAATTTGGCCTTTATTCTGAAGCACAGCTGTGAGCTAAGAATAATCATCAAACCTGTTTAAAAAAAAAAAACAAACTGCAGGATGTAACATTGGAGAGATCTTAATTTAAATCCACTCTAATATATACCCTAGGTAACACTCGTTTTGGAGAGAGGAGAATGAGATTGGGAATTTGGAGAACTCTTCCTCCCCTACCACCATGTAAAATGAGAATGTCAAGTATTAAAGACTTCCAGTAAGAAATACTGAAAAAAATAGAGTATTTAATGGAATAATGTAAGCAAAAGGGCTCAACCAGCAGATAACTACTGCTTTCTAGCAAGGATATTGGGAGGGAGTACATGGTACTGATGTGCATTGCACTTAACATTCTGAGCCTACAGGTTTGACCATGGATGAAACAGAAAAAACTGCCTGTGCTCAATCCTGGCTATACTGGGTTTCTTCTGTATTTTCATGAGCGCTAACATTCCGTGGAAGATACAAACCATGCTGTGGTTTTCCAGTTAAAAATCAGCTTCAGAAAGGTACATCTGTTGATCTAACTCTGCACTGCATTGTGTGCCCTGCTTCTGCTGAGCTCTTTTGTGCATCTAGCTTGCTGTACATTCTTGATCTTAGTAATGTATACATACATTATGACTATGGCTATGCAATATCATTATACAAAGGTTAAACCAATGTAAAAATCAGAACCCCTAGAAAGGAGAATGACCTATAGTAAGATATAACATAGCTTGAAATATGGTCTGTGGAGGAAGTTGCTTTTTGAGTTGATGTCGAATGTTCCATCTTTTTAAAGATGTTCTGTAGGGTCCCCCTCACACCTCGCTATCCTGCTGATGGTAGGCTGGAGGGGGATCGAACTGCTGGCATGCACTGTGTGTATGAGGAATATTTGACTCCTCAGCCTTTCACTTGGAACAGCTGGTGTAAATCCTCTCTTGTCCCAGGTCTGTTTCGCATTTGGCAGCTTTGTTGCCATACAGACTAGCTCAATTTTACATGAGAACCTGAGTTCTGTAGACTGAGCAATGGGAAGGCTGACCGTGAATCCTGCAGATGCTGTGGGTTCTGCCTGCGGGCTGTATGCCAGGCACTGCTGGCTTGGCATGTACAGCTCGAGCTTCCTGTGGTGCTGACCTATGGTGCAGGTAAAGAACGTCAATGACTTGGCACTGGGCTGCCGCGCACCAATGTGTATCACAGGCTGATGTGTATTTCTCCTGATCTAGGTTTTAAGCTTCTTATCTTCAAAAACTGATTGTTTGTCTTTTGTACTTGTAAGACATACATACCCAGATTTTCATGTTTTGCAGTAACTGTGTGTGTGGAAAATTAACTTGTAAATTGCTGTTAATATGGATTTGGTTCTGGCAACATCTGCAGGCTCCTTAGTGATGTGATGCAGCTTGAAGGAACTGTCCAGAAGAGCAGGTGCTAACTTGGGACAGGTTCTGCCCTTCCCTCTTTCCACTAGTTGTCTCTGATCCTCTTTTCCTGCCACTTTTCACCATTTTGCTGAGGGTTTTTTTGGATAGTTCTCCTCACTTCTCTTGGAGAGATCTTAGCATGTCAAAAGGCCCAGTAGACAAAGCTGTATGTGTGCCTGATGTAAAGTGGCTTGTACTAAAAGGAATGATGTGAAAGACTAGTTTTGGTTAGGAAATTAGATACTCCTAGAACAGTATTACAAGAGATGTAGTTAAGATTTTTGTATCTCAGGCTGTCAAGTAACTTGCATCTGGACAGCTGTAGTATGACTTAGAAAGGATTTGAAAACCTGCATAGAAGTTCTTAAACTAGATCTAACCCCTTGCTCCATAAAGCCACCATTTGCTATTATGTCTGTTAATGTAACTATGGTAAGTGCTGTTTGGCAGATGCTTCAGCTTAAATGCGAGTAGCGCATTTGAAGTTTCTTGTATGTGTGGTTGGATGGGATCGCAGCCTTAGCTGTCACACTGAACAAAAGCTGGACTGCATTTGTACAAAGGGAGAAAGCTGTATTATCTCTGCTATAACTTAATGTTCTGATATTTCATGGAATGAGATATTCCAGTAAGTAGGATCAATTGTGCAAATCTCAAAGAAAATCAAAGTATTTATACTATATAGCTGAGATCGGACTCTTGGGCTGTATTCATAAAGTTACACAGACACCAAAACCGAAGCTGGCTTACATAGTAAAGAGTGCTAGTTCTGATGCGGTAGTAGATCGCTGAGAGGTAAAAATACTTCTGGAAAATGTTTAGAAATTGCTTTTCTACTTTAAAATTGCAAGTAGAATTCAGCAAGGCCTTGTATGTTGTCTTTTTTTAAAAAAAAGTGTCCATTGATAAAATCAGTGTTTAACTTCTGTGCCACTGTAGTCTTTTATATTTTTTTAATTAAAATCTATACAAATACTGATGCCTGCCTAAATTACCATTTGGCATGGATCTACTGAAGGAGTTAATGGGGGGGATGACAGAGTAGAGGAAGCCCAAATACAGAGCTCCTTACTGACCCTGCTTTCCCCCTCACAGCAGTCCCAACTTTCAATTGCACACAAGCTGATATAATCAGCTCTCTGCTGGTGAATATATTTGCATTTTTTCCCCTCTTTAAACCAAACCAACATGCCATGTGCAAAACAAAGGCAAGTTTCCACAAACATCTTGAGTATCAAAGGATTTATTAAAGTAAAATAAATTAAGATCTCGTTTAGTTCAAGGTATGTGACACTTGTAATTATACATAGCAATTGATTTGTTTTAGATAAAAATCTGCATGTGGACCTAACTCCTGTAGCGCTTGTTAAATAAGTTAGATTTGTCTTATGCTGTACTTGTACTTTCTGTAGCTAGAGCTATACTCCTAATAGATGGTTCCAAGAAAATTTCAATACCTGTGCTTCCAAAATAAGACTTTCAAGAAAGCAATGAATGAAGCAAAACAAGAATATTTTGAATATTCATGGTAGTGTACTTCATAATAGATGGTTCCAAGAAAATTTCAATCTGTGCTACCAAAATAAGACTTTCAAGAAAGCAATAAATGAAGCAAATCAAGAATATTTTGAATATTCATGGTAGTGTACTTTACCAAACTTTTGAATTATTGTCCCTCATGGTGATTATCTTAATGCTCCAGTTAAGTCCACAAAAGATACTGCTATACATTATTAAAAGTTCAATGTTAAAGCAGGACAAATCAGCATTTTTCCCTTGTATTCAGAGTATTTTAGTCATGCTTCAAATTTGGATGAACCTGCGGTCTCAGGTTTTATGTGGTGAAGTAGATGCCTTAAAGTGACTGGGGTGGTGCTTTTCTGTGAGGATGAAACTATTTAGCTGAGATGATGCTTTGGTAAAATGTCAAGAAGCCCAACGTGTTAAGGCAGTTTCCCCTCAAAGTCCAAGCGTCACCTTTGCTATTGGCAATGAGCCCCTTTTCTGCAGCTCCCTCTGCTCTGTGCTGTCATGGTACGTGTTCTCTCATGCGTCTGCTGTAACCCAGCGAGCACCTGGACAGCAGTTCCTTGCTCAGACTTCTGCAAAAAGCTGGACATTAATTTCCTGATCTCAAGCTAATCAAAGCTAGATTTGGGACCAATGGTTTTACATAATTCAAAGGCTGAAAAAGTTCAAAACAAAACTGAACAAATCGACTGCTATAAGCTGTGGAAGGATTTGACATGATGGAATGGTAGGGCACATCTCTAAATGGACCTGAAAGAGGAATGAGTCACAGTGCAGACCATAAAGACCTCAAGCATATTTAAAGTATCCTAAATCTGTCTTTTTATGGACATGGCAAAGGCAGGACATGTTGGCTACTAACTAAGAATTTGTGGAACATCCCCAGGTCACTGTAATGTGAGAAAGTCTGTTACTACAAGTACTGAATTTGGAAGAAACTGGGTGTTTCTCCTGCCTTGTACTATAGCAGAGTTCTGACTCACTCCTGCGTTCTGTTATGCAAGGGGAGCAAATCTGACTTACAGGGCAGGGGATTTAAGGCTCAACAATGTCTTAAGAAAGGAAAATTAAAATAGAGTTGAAGCCTATTATGCTAACAAATTCCTTTATGCCATCAGGTCACTTTTGTTTAATCACAGTTCTTGCTTCAACTCTTTGATGACAAGCTCCATGACTAGTTGCAGATTTCTGCTAGCCATGCTTTCCCATGGAGTAAGACAGACGAAGTGAAGTGCCCCTAATTTTGTGCTTTTATTGCTTTATCTAAATCATCCACCAGTTGCTGCAACTTCTGTAGGCTGGGGTGGACATTCTCCTCCATCCACTCCTCTACAGTACACTTGTGGAAAACTTGCTCCATGGCTGCTTGGAGGTCCTGCACCACAGCATTCCACTTGGAGAGAAGACTAAGCAGAAATCAGAAGGAAGAAACAATCACATTTGCAGCTGAGCTCTGTCTCGAGGGAGGGCTTGCTTACTGGGCCTCTTAAAGGGAGTGCAGCCCTTAAAATGACTTTACAGGAAAAGAAGCATCTATTACAAGAGCTCAAAGGACTTGATTTTGTGCAGATGGCAAAAGGTTGATGCTGCTTGTGTTTAAGTACCATCAATCTTGGCACTTTTCTTATGCAATGACTTTTAAAGTACAGAAATGTGAGCTCAAAAAAACCACTCCACATTTTAAGTGTAACTGAAACCCACTGTGAGACTTGTTGGGAATTTAAGTCTGTTTTTTATCAGCAAGAGTAGATGCAGTTCAATGTTCACCTCATCACAGGAACAAATGTATAAATTAGCCATTTAGCATGAATCGGCATCATCTTGAGGACAAGTTCTGCAGGTACAATGCCAGGGAGCAGGGGAAAGGGGTCTGGTTTTATTCCAAGCCCTGCCTGGAACCTGGCCCACTGAGGGTAACAACTCCGGTAAGATGCAGCGTGTCTGTATAGGAGTAAGTGCATATGCAAGGGAGGGTATTTCAGAGACCAATTTTCTACTTGTTTTCAAAGAAGTTTGTTCAACAGAAGGCAAAGATAAACACGTTCTTCTGTTTAATACCATATTATGAATACTTCATACTGCTTGATTTCCACTGATGTTTCTGAAATAATTTCAGAAAGAAGCAAGGACTCAAAACTGCATGGTTGGGCACTTGAGTGCCCAAAATATGACAGGCTTTATTTCCCCTATAATGCAAAATAAGTGATGTTACCTTACTGCATCTGGCTGAAAGTGATGCATTATTACAGGATGAATAATCTTCCTTTTTCTGTGGTAGGGGCTGAACCAGCCTGTGACATATCTGAAAATGAATGTTAGTATGAGGAGCTATGTATGTTTGTAGGCTGTCAGGGAGGTGACAGGGCTTGAGCTGAACTTCTGCACAAACAGAGAGAATGATTAAGGAGTAAGTAAACCTAAGTCTATGTATCTTTGAAACTAGCTTGTAAAAGACTGTTCCTGGCAGCTGAGAATAACTGATCATCTGTTGCAATTTAAACTGCATTTCAAGCTCCTGGTTTTGGTAACCATGCCATTAAAAAAAAAATCACTTTTACTTTAAATAAAAGTAAGAATTAATTCAGGAAAGAATTGATTCTTGATATAAGGCAGCACATAGTGTTTAGGAATTCTGCTGAAATACTTTAAATTTGCATCAAAGTATTACATTCTACTGAGGTGTCAATATATAGGGATGTGATGCCTGAAACATACAGCTTGATGTTTAAATCACTTTACTGGAGTTATGCCCCATTTTGAGATGATACAGCTCCCACACTCCTGCAGATAGCCAGAGAATCAACATAAACCTTATTACCTGTTCCTTTCAAGAAGTTCATCCACTGATGACTTGAGGTAGAAACTAACTTGCGTCACAAGCGTAAGGATATTGCTCCCAGGAAAGGTCCCCAGACTTGTGCTGTCCAAAGAGGATCCGTTAAGTTTCTGAACTTACCGCACAATGAGAAGCATCTGAAACCCACAGCTGGAATTTTACCTCATGAAAGATTCAGTTTCCAGGTTGGACATTCCCAGGAGCTTTTCCACATTTTCTTTAATCTTTTCAGAATAGCCGCCTGGCAGAAGACAGGGGAAATAAGTAAAAGGAGCCTAAATAACAAAAATGTTCTTCAAGAGGGTTTTTTTGGAGTATTATGCATTGGCTTAGTAGTTCCCCTTGGATGAAGATTTTTTAAAAAGGTAAAATGGCAATAGAACGTGGAAAAAAACTTGGGGGTGGGAGGAGCACATTGTCTTTCACAGAACAGTCTTGTGCTTGGTAAAGCTCTTCCTAGCTCTGAGCTTTCTATTCAGGCTGATGAATATTTTTAGTGCCTTAGTTAAAAATAGGTAGGTTGTAGGGTTTTTATTTTGAAAATAAGAAATGCAGAAAGACAAAAAAATAATCCTATTGGCAACTGCCTGTGAAGGAATCAGAAACTACAGGAGGTCTTTTACCAGACAGTGTACTATCTACAGCAATTTTAAGAAAATTCGTTAAAATGCAGAAAGACAAAAAAATAATCCTATTGGCAACTGCCTGTGAAGGAATCAGAAACTACAGGAGGTCTTTAGACAGTGTACTAACTATCTACAGTTTAATTAAGAAAATTCGTTAAAGTAACTTTTACATGTAAACAAGATCTAAATCTAAACAAAACCAGTCTCACTGATATACCAGTAGTGTTTCAAATCAGTTTCAAAGGCAATTCAGCTTCTTACTTTTTTTTTTAGTATAAGCATCAAGAAGTTTATGGGTTAAAACATAATAAATGATTAGTATCCTATGGTTATTTTTCAGCACTTAGGCCAAGAGGCTTCTCTGCTCCTGTACTGCAAACATGCAAGATGTATAATTTGTTTTTCATAATTCAGACCACGACCAGATAGTCAAACCACCTCAAAAAATAATAAGCCTGTGCCAACCTTAGGGCAAGGTCACTTCACTCTTGTGCTAGGCATTAGCTGAGAGAGAATAAAGTTGTCATTGTACCATTCTTTAGTGCCTGCAGACATACAGCCAATGATGGAATTGCCACAGGGAGAAGCTCACACAAAACAGAGAAGTGGTCATACCTAAATAAGAAAACATTAATTAATTAGACATTTTACTGTTAGAACATACTAAACAAGTGGGAAGCGTTAATATTTCAATCACTAAATTTCAAAGAGCTTTAGAAACATCAGTTTCTGTCTCAGAGAAGGGGCCTGCTCTCTCTGAAATGCCAAGTATTCCTCTTTCACTAATAAGAACAGATACAAACAAAATTACTTTCTCAAGCCCAATTAGGGTCAGAAATTGGAATTCAGCACTCTCATATTCCCTTAGACCTCCTGCCTGCTGCATAGAAACCTTTTACTCCTTCGTTACGTTAACAAACTCTTCTCTCACGCTACCTCACTCTTATTTGAATTCACATTAGACGTTCAGCTATACACCGCGCATCGTGTTAACCATGCTGTCCATAAGCAGGGTGGCACAAAGTACATCCAAGCCTTCAAATCCAATCTCCTATTGTTGGTGTCTGCCAGAACAATTGCTCCTGCTGATCAATGCTGTAGCAGTTGACTGGAACTCTGAAATCCACCCTTCACAGTAACCAACAGGAAGGATTGCAGGGTTGCAAAGTTCACTTCTAAATTCCCAGCTTCCTTGTACCTCTTGGGGAGGTTTTTGGGTGGAAGTTTGCTTCCATGTGATCCTTAGAACCATTTAAAAATATGTTCCTTACCTTTGCCAGCCGGTCAGCGCGATACCTTCAAGGACATCAGCGGGGCTATCGCTTGCCACTTTCAGCCACTGAAGATGGTTTTTTAAATGATGTCCAATAAGCGTTAGAGACTGATTCACTCCTGTAGCTCCTTTAAAAGCACTGCCAAACCACACCTTGGAGAAGCCACATCTACGATACTTCTCTATGAGATGCACTGAAATAAGACACACAAGAACACTTACAGGACAAGTTTTTTCTTCATTTTCAGCATTGACTGTAATGCTCCAATTAACAGGAACCGGGGTCCAGTTACAAGAGGCTGCTGAGCCTTGTCCGGTCAAGTTTTGAGCATCAGCAAGAATGGGAGATTTGACATCCTCTCTGAGCAACCTGTTTCGGTGACTGCCCTCCTATTTTCATGTGCCCAGTTACCATATTCTATTCCCTTGAATTGCTAAATTGCTTCAGTGCCAAGAACTGTGGGCATGTAGCAAGCATGTGCAACATCTGACAACTGAGTCTTCTTTCAACAAAGAAATATTTGTATGCACGTTAGATGCCCGATGGGAACCTTTAGGAGTTTTTCCTTTGAGTTCTATAGAGGTATGAAGCCTCAAAGCTTCTTTTGCAGAGCTGTTCAATACAGAGCTATCTGCTCCCACTGGTTTTAATGCAAGGAGAGTTAATGTAACAGTGCTTGTGAAAAACCTCTCAATCTCCCATCAGTGATTCCATAGCCCTTGTTGAAAAGAATTAAGCAGCAGACAATGCAAGTCCCTCACAGGAGAAGCACAAATAGAAAAAGAAAATAAATAATAGCAACTATTATGTGAAATTAAACACAGACTATGTTTATGCTACTAAAGCAATAAAAAGCAATTTAAGAAAAACAGAATTTTTTGTGTCCAAGTAAGGTATGTTTTAATCAGACTATTCTGTTTTGGCTATTTCGCTTAGAATCGTAGAATCGTTTAGGTTGAGAAAGACCTTTAAGATCATCAAGCCCAACCGTTATCCTACCCCTGCCATCCCACCACTAAACCCTGTCCCTCAGTACCTCGTCTGCCCAGCTTTTAAATACCCCCAGGGATGGGGACTCAACCCCTTCCCTGGGCAGCCCCTTCCAGTGCTTGACAATGCTTTTGGGGAAGAAATTTTTCCCAATGTCCAACCTAAACCTCCCCGGCACAACTTGAGGCCATTTTCCCTCATCCCATTGCCCATTACCTGGGAGCAGAGACCGACCCCCACCTCGCTACACCTTCCTTTTGGATAGCTGCTTAACAGGTAACAGCTCTTTGCTTCTAAGCAGCTCAGCAGAGAAGTACAAACCTTTGCCCTCCACGTCGAGGTCCGCTGCATAGTCCCAGATCATTGGCTGCACAAGCTGTGGGACCCCAGACTCTGAAAAGAACGAGTTCTTCTAAGTAACAGAAAACAGCCAGTTAAAAGTGAGAACTAAGTACGTGTTATTGGTGCAGTAATACATGACTAGAACTAACTATGGCTTGTGACTAGAATTCTTAATTTATAGCTCAAGTGCCCACAGGAACTTTCAGCCTGGCCAGGGCTTTGAAGATGCAGGTTCACATGCCAGGGGCCACTAAGTCCTTAGACATCTTGAAGCCGCTAATATGGATCAGCAGCAACAATTCAGCAGAGATCCCATTCATCCCACGCCCATCTCCTTCTCAGTCCCTTGAATCTGTCAGTATACCTGCTGGGTTGGACTGATGGAGCTGCGAACTGTATGTGCAAGATTTCAGCTAAATTCAAAGTATTCACCCTTGAAGTTAGAGATTGTCTGAGCTGTATTTGCACAGAACTTAGCTTCTCAAGATGCCTTTAAAGTACAAATAAAGATATAGGTTTAGCTTCAAATCCCTTTATAATCAACTCCCCGACTAGTTTTAAACATGAGAAACCGACCCCTAGAGGAACTGCAGTAAATTATACAGAAATTCAGTATTTTAACTGCATCCCATTTTAATTTGTTTAGTCTGTGATTGCCTGTGTCACCACAGTCTGCTTAGCTAGATGCTGTGCTGCTCCTGTTGAAACTGCATGGGTCCTGTCTGCACTTTTTTGGATAATTTCCCACTATTAAAGCCATGAATAAGACAGTCACTGCTGGAGGAGCTCTTCACCACATCGTCTAAATCTACATAGAGCAGACATGTAAGGTAGCTCTGAAAAGACTGGAACCCCACCTATGCTAAGAGTACTCAAATTTTAGCAGTGGTTTCATATTTTTCAACAAACAGGACTCGTGACATCAAAGTCTTGGAGCTATCCCACAGTTCAGTATCAGAGTTCCTTATGATGTGCACTGTGATTGCCTATGCTGTCAAAGACACTCACAGGGCTGCAGCTTCTCCATGTGAGTCTGCACCGCTGCAACCAGACGCTGCACAGAGCAACAACTGACGTTAAAAGGTGGCGAAAGACAAAGAAATTTAGGCTGAGACCACAAATGCTAATAGGCTTTTTTTTAATGTGTGAAGAAAGTAGAATTGATGGCAACCACTGCATGATGACTGTTTTGTTTGTAACTGTATAACCAGATGGAAAACTAAAGTGATTGTGTTGAGACTTGCCCACAGTCATACAGAAAGTCTGTGACACAGCCAAGGACTAAATGTCTCTATTCTTTTGTCTAATGGATCACATCTCAGCTATTCTCAGATTTCTTGTTTTCACTATTTTAATCTGCCAACAAATCTGTTTTAACTGGTTGTGTAAACTTTTTTGTATGCTACAAAACATGACTCACTCCATCACTGGTCACACACCTGCCAACGTTTCCTCACTTATCCCTCTGAGCATATCATCCCACACGATGGGTGTCACAGCGGGGTAAGATGAGGCCACACAACTGGCTACTGCTTTTATGTGGGATAAGCACAGCTTTTCTGGAGTGTTGTCTTGTTGCTGCAGCCACTGCTTTGACTCCTCTCCTTCGCCAAGGTAGTAGACCTGAAAAATCAAACAAATAATCTTGACTTATTTTATAGGAACAGGGGGAGCGAGTTTGATGTGGTGTCATGAAATCATACAGTATTCAAAACCTATTGCAAGGAGTGGACACTTTCAAAAGCAATGAGCAGACATATTCAAAAGCACCTCTCAGCGTTGAACACACTGCATGCATTTCTATCAGTCTGCAGGAGACTGTGGCCCTGACTAAATGCATCACGTAAGGGAATTTTCCTGTGCGAACTAAAATATCTAAAGAATAATTAAAACATGCTGTATTTGTCTTTGGATGGTTTGTCCTTAGAAGCAGCTCTTACTAGTTTTACTCAGTTCAACTCTAGCAACCCATAAGGTCCTGAATTATGTAAAATGGGGCTCCTGTCTTGGGGAAGGAGATCATTTGTACGTGAATCTAGAATTGACTTGGGGCATATCCAGGAGTGGCCCCAGCATACTTGGTCCTATGCAGAGGGTGAATTTGGGCCTGTTAAACTGGATGTGCGTATAAACTCTTGGTTATTTTACAGCAGGTTTTATCTAAAACACATTTATTCAAAATAAATAGTATTTTTGCTTTATAAAAGCTTGCAGGTTCCTATCTAACCTTGTCATTTGTTCCCAAACAACAGGATTCAAAATGCTAAATATCAGTACAGTTAAGGTGATCACAATGACTTTCAGGAACCTATGTGCCATAGGGTTGGTTTTAAGAAACCCTGAGAAAGGAGGAAACCCAAGGGTCTTATCCTCAAGGAGACAAACTACCAAGAGAAAGAAAAACAAAACACTTCCCACCACAAAAGGGCTTACTTAAGTTGGTCATAACAATGAGCCAACATCTTACATCAAAACTCACATGAATACCTCCAACTGATATCTCCCTTCAAATACGCACTTGACCTAATACCAAATGCTGAGTTAGCTTTAAGAAGCTGCTTTCAACACTTTCAATATCAAACTCATATCAAAAGAAATGACATCCTGTGCTACTGGAATACCTTATTGTCAAAATGAGTTTTCTACACTGGCTTGAATTGATGTTTTCTGTCCCCAAAATCCTACCCAAATGTGGCCTGGGCACCACTGAAACACAGAAACCTCAGCCCTTACCATCATTCCTCACAAAAAAAATATTCCTGGCTCAAGAGAAGTCCCACCTCATCACATCCGATGTGAAACCATTTTACATCTTCATGCAGTGCCATGACCTGGTCAATCATGGCTTTGACCAGTGCCAGTGACTCCTCCTTGTGTGGGTTGAGGGCGTTGGGAAACACCTTCACCTCCCGGAGATGAGCGAACTCTTTATGCTTCAGCACAAACTGCAAGAGAAGGGAGAGCTCGGGGAACAACTGCAAAATGAAGGGGACAGCAGCGTCCTCTTGCGTCACCAGGGCTCTGCCAACAGCGCACAGGGGACAGCACAAGGCCTCTTGCCAGGGGTGGTACAGGCCGGAGGGGCACAGCTGCTGCTCCACAGTGCCACGGGGGTCTCTGACCACCAAGCACCTCCTGGGCGAGGGAAACGGGGTGGTCAGTGCAGCCTCGCCCCGGTGTCCGCACTGTACAGCTGCCGGGAGCTGGATAACCACAACACCGGGAGCTACAGTGGAGATTTCCCAGCAAAGCCCCCCCACGCCATGCCCAGGCCGAGGCCGGGCCGGAGCTGCTCGCCCCACTCGCCCAGCCCAGCACGCCCAGGCGTTGAAAGCGCGACGACGCCCGCCCGCTGCTCACCTCCATGTGCCCGCAGGCCT